AGTAAAGATAGAAGGATGACATGGAGATGACTAGCACTAGGTCCTCAATGTTTGGATCTATTTTGGGACTGCTCTGGAACTTAAATTATTTTTATAGTGTAATTATTTTGGTTGTGTAATTATTATCTTAAGTCTCACATATTTTGACAAACAATTTATAAATTTTTATACTTGATATTTGTAATACATGTTCAGTATCCAGATTTAAAAATTTGTTTTTGGTTTATTATAATCTTTAAATTTATTATTATTTAATTAATATTGCATGATTGACAAATTTTTATAGATAATCTTATTCATAAAAAGATATTTTATTTACTCATTTATAATGCTTGTCATATACAAAAATTCTTATTTTATTTTGAATTTGTACAAATAAAATAAGCAATTTTAAGACTAAAAATTTAGGACGTTACAAAAGTTCTTTAAACATAGTTTTCTTCTAATCATAAGTTCATAACGAGTTTTTGATACATATATATTTGTTAAGTATGTACATAACAATCTACAAACAATCTCTCTAAAGAAAGTCTAGCATAAAAGAATAACTCATCATGCATTTCACCATAACTAAAAGTATGTGACTTAGTCTCTCTACCACTCTATTATGCTTAGGAGTACCAGGCATAGTATATTGACCTTCATACTACAATTCTAGAGATGGAGAGAATAAATAATTAATTTTTGTCTAATAAGTCAAAGAAGAGAAAGTGTATCTATTTAATGAGAGTAAGTTATTTAACTCACTAGATAATAAAATTAAAGACCTCTCTTTAAGATATTAGAAAATTGAATAGATTAACCAATCATAAACTATTTTTACTAAAACTCAATAATAATAGTATATTTATTAATTAGTTTTATATGAAATAATGTCATAATTAATATTACTAATTTAAAATATATATTTTAAATAAATAATTAATATTAGTTCACAATTAAATAAGATATAATATTAATAAAAATATTAATGCAATTGTTCATCCCAAAATCTAATAGAATGTCACGTCTCTGCTTATGTGTATAAAAAAGTAGTGAAGGAACTTGTCAATGTGTGCCCATAAAAATTGGTAGAAAAATATAAAAATAAAAAAAATTGTATGAACGTGAGAGAGTAAATGTGAAAATAAAGATAAGACAAAAATATGTTTATGTATGTGTGCCCCTCAGAATTGGTGGAAGAATGTGAAAAAAAATGTGCGAATGTGAGGCTCAAGGACAAGAAAAACAATGTGATTAGTAAATGTGTGTGTGGCGTGAAAAAGGGTACGTGAAATTTGTTATTTAGAAAAATTAATAAAAAAGGGTTATAACAAATATAAATTTATTATTTTTTAATACTTAGTATTTTCTATAGTTTTATATTTTTATTAAAATTATTATTGAATTATTTAATTTTTTAATTTAAAAGAGAATTTTTATTTTTATTATTTTTATGTGTACTTTGTTTTAACATTTAATTTATCATAATTACAGTTTTTTTACATTATTTTAAATTATTTAGTATATTTTTATAGATTTTATTTATAAAATATTATCTCTCATTTTAAATTAATTTTTATTTAGGTAATTAAATTTCTTATGTTAGATATATACAAACACAAATATTAAATTATTTTTACATTTAAATTGACTAAATCAATTATTTAAAATCTAATTTTAATTAAATAAAAATATAACTTAATAAAATTGAGTGTTCATAGATATTATTTTTAGACTTTCTTTTTTTATAATTATTCTCCCTAATTATTGAGTTAAGATAGGTTCGCGAAGTACTCATCTTATGAGTATTGTTGATTGATACAGAAAAATGGGTAAGTGCATTTAAGAGATAGAGAAGTAATATAAAATAGTAGAATTTAAGAATATAAGACTTAAGGTAAAATTCTCTTCAACTTCACAATTAAATTATTTTTCAACTCAAATTCTAATATCTAATTAAATATTAATTTCACTAAATTATTTATAATATCTAGTTCCTTAAATTTTTCTAATTGAAACAAGTATTGAAATTAAAAATTTATAAGAATACATAATTATCAATTTATATTCTTAATATATCAATAATTATGATAAATTATTCTAAAATTTAAATCACTATCCTCAGCTGTGAAAATGAATTTAACATCAATTAATATTTTATCAATTTATAAAAATTTTAAAACAAAACAAACACTTAATTAGGAAAAAAAAACTTGAATTAAAATATAAGAATTTGATGTAAAAGAAATTTAGATTTAAACCATATTTGCCTAACATAAAGAACTAATTCCTGAAAGTTGAATGTCCATCAACTTCATTGTTTGAGTGAGAGATCTTGAGAGAATTTATATATTGCTTTGCGTTTTGATTGACAATGAGGCCATCATTTTGTCTATTTAGTTCTAATAAGCATCGGCTTTGCTATTCATAACATCTTCCTTTAAATTTTTTCTAAAAAATCATAGTTAAAACATGAAAAGTTCAAAAGACTAAAATTAAGAAAAAAATTAACATGATATAATCTATAAACCTACACTAAGCTTAGATCACAATGACATACTAAAAATCACTAATTTTATATGTTATATGCCCCTATAATAATGCAAAAACACTAAATCTCTTTTTCTTTCGTATACAATAAAGTGTAATATTATATATTTAATATTATTTAATATAATAAAAAAAATTATTATATATTTTTATATTTAAATTTAATTTTTTATTTATTTTAAAATAAAATAATTTGATAAAAATATAAATAAACTAGTACAATATATGCACAAATATATTTATTAGTTTATATTATTATTTATAACTACACATAAACAGAAGAATGGTGAAATTGTTGTGTTTAAAGTGCGTTCTTTTGAAATGTTATAAAATAAATTTATTTTGTAAAAAATGTTACATATATTAATAAAGTTAATTATTATATCATATTTTTTATACTTGTTTTTTTATTAAGTGCATAAAAATAGTTTTTTTATTATATTTATTGTTATAACATTAATGTAATTATTATAAATTATTATATTATTATTAGACTTAAATATATTTTTAGTACTTATATTATAATAAATTTTATTTTAGTTTTGTTAAAAAAAATTAGTATTAAATTTTTATAAATTTTTAATTTTAAATCTCTATTAATAATTTAGTCCCCTAATTAAAAGATTCTCAAAGTTAATTCTTTACACCAAACGAATTAAAAATAATAATTACTAAAATACAAAAATTATTTGAACAAATTAAAAACTAAAAATACTAAAATATAAAAACTAAAAACATATTTAAGTTTTATTAAATAATATTATTTATTTAATATATGGTCACTAAAATAGCATATATTATGTTTAGGACTTTTACTTTTGTACAAATTGATGTTCCTTGTAAACACTGATCATAATGTATTTTTTGGGACATACATTGTAAGGGAAATACATGTTTATAATTTTTAATATATCTTAAAATATTCTTAATAAAAATTAATTTTAAATTTCTGAACCTATATTTTAAAGACATTAATTAGCAGCATCAAAATTTTAAATTGCACATGATTGCGTGGACTTGAAATTAATCAAACACCATTCCGCTTTTCAACTTCAATCAAGCCGCTGATTAATTAAAAAAATCATTTTAATCATTACTTTTTACTCAAAACTGATAAGCCTCACAAGAATGATGGCTGTGGAAACCCGTTAAATCACGTAACCGAATTAAATTGAATGTAAATATACAAAGTACAAGGTTGTATAGCTTTTATCCGTTAATACGTTGATTCACATGTTTCATGTTAACTTTTTGTACTAGAATAATTTTTGTTTGTTAATTCGTTGATTTATATGTTTAATGTTATTTTTTTTAATAATACTAGTAATATATTTTTTTAATACACATCTTATTATTTGTTAAAATTTATAAAAAGTTATATATAGATATTTTACACTTTTTATTGTTAAATTAATATTTCTTTTTTATATCTTTTAAATTTTTAATAAAGACTGTGATAATAATATTTTTTAATAAATTGAATCACTTTTTAAAAATACAAATTATGAAATCAACTACTTAAAAGAAAACAATTTTTTAAATGAAATAAATAAAATTAATTTAACATATTAATACACATATTTGAATGCAAGATTTATATATAATTAGTTTATAAAAATTTAAAATTAACGGACCACATAGTAACCCCACAGAGTGATAATTGAATGTGTTTGTCCTTTGTTAATTAGTTGGGAATCGAAGTGGGAGCGTATTGTGAAATTGTGGGCACTAGCAAAGTGCAAACGAAATGGCACTGGATAATTGCATGCAACCGCGCAGAGTGAAAAACGCAATTGTGTTTGCTTCCATAGTCACGAGGGAAGTGTGTGCTGTTGTCGGGTTCGTATCTTATCTCCTCTCACTCTTACGTAAAATGCGCCTTGTCAGAATCTCACTCACTTTCCATATTCCTAACTCATTTTCTTTACCCTTCTCACCCTTCTTCCTCTTTCGTATAACCAAATTGCCATTCTTTTAGTCTATAACTCCTCTTTTTTTATATATATAATCATAACTTTTTATTGATATAATATGTAAACATTGTAAAGTTTCAATGCTTAACTAGAGGAGTCATGACTTGATAGTTTAAGAATAATTTAAGTTCAACAAATCTTAATTTATATGTCTACTGTGCAGTTTTGAAATTTCTATAAATAAAACTTAATTATATCATCTATATCTACATAATATATAACGGATCTGTGCATAAAACCATTCCAAAGCACTATTATTAAATTCTTAGAAAATTGAACTAATTGGAGGAAAAAGTAGGTCACAAAAGGAGGAAAAAGTCATCCACTCCCACGTTGAAATTAGTCCAATGTTTGTAATTTAGTGAAAAAGTAAGGTTATTTTTTAATCCTAGCTATGGTATTTGAACCACGCCTTCAAGCAAGTCCACGTACATCTCCCGTGAAGTGCTGCATATATATTGCGTTAGCACTTGCCATAGTCTATAGAGGAAAGAGGAGTGACACTAATTTCAATTAAACAGAAATTGCTTTTACATAGGAGAGTGAAGAAAAAGAAGAGCAAGCTCAACACAGAGATGGAATGGAGGAAGTGCTACTTGGATGTGATATTGGTTCCCTTTGGATTTCTTATAAGCATTGGTTATCATTTCTGGCTGTGGCATAAGGTTCGAACTCAGCCACACACAACCATCATTGGCATCAATGCTAGTGGCCGTAGAAATTGGGTTAATGCCATGATGAAGGTACCAATATATCTTACTTTTTTTTCTGGGTTTTATTTTAGTTTACTATATTAATCATAAATAGCTATTTTAACAACGTAAATAATGTATTCTCAAAATGGATTAAGTTTTAACCCTTCATTTTCTAGCTCTAAAATACAATTTTTTTATGCATATTCCGGGTTAATTAACTCTATGTTGTTAATTCAAAAACTTTTCTGCAACTAGCTATAATTTTATATACTGTTCCTCTTTGCTTTTAGCATTTCATGGACCATATTTTTCTTTATAAAATTTTTGAGATGATCACTGATCTGCAAAACCTTCTTGTTAGCAATTTTTTCCGCATAGCGTTTCCTTGGAAAACCGAAAGGAACTAAAATAATTAAAACTGAAAAGATTATCTTCACAATGGAATATTTTCATGTTTGATATTCCTTAGTATTTAGCTTTTCTTAATGTATTCTTGTTCCTACCAGATAAATGCCATTTTAACAACCATGCACAAACAAAACAAGACAGAATGTTCTTTCTTATGGTATAATTAGGTGAATATCCAATCCAAGTGCCTTCTAGGTCAGCCGAGGAAATGAGCATCATACCAAATTAATGATAAATATATATATTCAAAGAAAATTCTGCATGTTTAAATTATTTTATATTAGATATAGTTTTTTCCACAGCATACGAATATTATTATTTTTAATATATAATTAATCCATACCAAATGTGAACATAATCTAAGATCTGTGCAACAATTGCTTATAAACAGTACTTTCTTAAATTAAATTTACATTAATCTTTCCAATTCCATATCAGCGTATATGTCTTCATAACCTCCGAAAAAACAAACCATTATATATATATATATCCTAAGCACATTCCCAAACAAGAACATTCAGCGCATAGAAATGATAATAATATCATTGCTTTTATAAGCAATTGCATCAACGCATCACATCACTTTTTATATAAAATCGAAGCAAGCATTTAAGAGTCTGATTATTTTAAAGTTGAAACATACGGGGAATCGATGTCATAGAAATGATAATAATAAAGTTATATTCGTTTAAAGTACCTCGCAAATCGTACAATTTCATTTAAAAAGAGGTTATATTACGTTGATATATGAAATTGTAGGATTTTCTTTGTTAGAAAGAAGTTAAGGGAAAAGAGTGAATAAGCTTAAGCTTAGATTCCTCATTTAAGATGTCTTAGAGAACTTTAGATTGAAGCACTCTTGCTTATACTAGTGGATGTGAAACTTAATATCATCAACAAAAATAAATAACTCGAATATTAAAGTTGTTCTAAAGTAATTACGTTGATTATGGCAGGACAACGACAAGAAAAACATCCTGGCCGTTCAATCACTAAGGAACACAATCATGGGTGCCACCCTAATGGCCACAACTTCCATTCTACTTTGCTCAGGTCTAGCAGCAGTCATAAGCAGCACCTACAGTGTAAAGAAACCCCTAAACGACGTAGTGTATGGGGCACATGGGGAGTTCATGGTGGCACTAAAATATGTGACACTCCTCACAATTTTCCTCTTCTCATTCTTTTGCCACTCACTTTCCATAAGGTTCATAAACCAAGTTAACATTCTAATCAACACCCCTCAAGACCCCATGTCACTTGTGACCCCATCATACATAAGTGAAATCTTAGAGAAAGGTTTCATTCTGAACACTGTTGGAAACAGGCTCTTCTATGCTGGACTTCCTCTTTTGCTTTGGATCTTTGGGCCTGTTTTGGTGTTCCTTTGCTCTCTCACTATGGTCCCAGTGCTTTACAACCTTGACTTTGTGTTCACTAGTCCCAAGGGAAAGGTCGACGTGAATCAAAACAGAGATTTTGTATGAAATGTGTCGTGTATAAATTAATTATATATATGTGAAGTAGGAGGGATTGAAGGTGTTTTCCCATTTTAATAATAGGAAATCTCCATGTATGCTCCCTGTATCGAGATTTCACTTCAGTTCTTATTCGCTTCTTTAACACTTCTCTTTCCAAAACATCTCAAATTCAGTTTTAGATTAACATTTAAACAAATGTTTATAGAAAAAAAAAAAAAAAAGTCTGTAAATCGAAAGAGATAATTTCTTATTGTTCATGAAATATTTTCCATCCTATGATATGAATTGTAAAAACAACGCGCACCACAAGTGGTGCCTAGTTTTTATTTGTTTTGGAGGTGGTTTGTTTTACAGTTTAATAAAAAAAATATCTTAATCCACTTATTTACTCTAAGTGTAAGTGATAAGGTATCACTAATTTAATGTCAAAAAATTCATCTCTTTAAAAAGGAAAAAGGTTGTGGCACTTGGAAGCAATTATAGATAAGAGATTTTAATCTAACGCTTTTTTTTAGTGGTGGGTCATGCGTAAGTGCTCGGATTTCTAAGATGTATAGTTTGTAATCATATCATCTCTTGTATAAATGAAAAGATTTTAGTTTGGCTCTATAATGTATATGTCAACAGTTACCATAGAATAGAGTTAGTAAAGTTCAATTATTTAATGGACTATTTTAAAAATATTATATATATATATATATATATATATATATATATATAAGAGTTTGGACATTAGAATTAAAGTTGCAAATAAATTCAAACTTTTTAGCTTAGTCGTTTAGTTAAAATTAATGCTTTTTTAAGTAATAAAATATATTTTATGTTTATTGACATAAACAAGGTTTTGATTCTAAATTATGATAATAAGAATAATCATAATAAAGAGAGGAAGAGTAACAAAATTGAAAATGCAAAATTATTTTATACGAATTCAAATAATTAAGAGATTAATTAAAATATTAGTTTATAATATTTAGGATAGGTGGAGTATTACCTTAATTTTGTTGGAATGAGTGATTTGATGATATTTTTATTTTAAATTTGTTGAATATATATTTGATGTTTTAAATTTTGATCAATATGCACACAAAAATATTATTAATGTAATATTTTATTTTTAATACATATTAAAATAAATAATTTTTAAAAACGATTATAAAACAAGTCATCTACATAAATCAATTACCTATAAAGAGCCGAAATTTGAGTGGTAGCCTAAATTGATAAATCTACCATTATTATTATTGTTGTTGTATAATAAAATTTATGAAATATATATTTTGTAATTGAAAAAATATTTAATATGTTAAACACAACTTTAATTAAGGTTAACTATAAGAGATATATATAAGTGGAGTGAGTCCACAAAGCAACAACATGGTGCAAGAATTGCTTGTCAAAGCTCATGGAAATTGACTTGTCAAGGCTTTAATTAAAGTAGGAGATAAAAATTTCCAGTGACAGGTTCTTAGAGGTAATGGATTACTTGCGGTATGCGACTAGTACTTGTTTAATGCATGAGGGCGATATGAGGATAAAAATTGTCTTCTTCTTCTGCATCACTTAACCAATATCATCATCAAAACTCTTCCACAATTCTACGGTTGCCATATCCTTTTTCCATGGAACGGGCTAATATCACCCCCACACACACATCATTCACTGTAAATGCATTTCTCTTCTAAATTGAACAATTATCCTCAGAATCATTGTCGTCTTTTGCATTACAGTAATTAAACTCACTTCTTGTTATGGTGTGGGTTGAAACACTCATCACTGTAGGAAGAAGATTCTCTTATTATTATGGATATATACTTGTGAAATTGTGAAATATATTTTTCTTTTATTACATGACATATTGTTATTTTTATTTTTTTTAAATCTATGTTTTTTTTTATCATTCTGCAATGATGTTATCTTTTAATGAGTCTGTGATGATAAAATTTGTTGAAAAAATAATACGATTTGATCATATTACTATTTTTATAAAACTACTATCGTAAAATATAAATAAACTTGATATGTTACTCGTAACTTCTCTTACAATTTTAAATATTCTAAATATTATTGAATAAAACTATGCTAATTTTTTTTAGCTTCAAGATTCAAAGTGGCAAAGTATAAATTTTGTGGCCAAGTTTTCAAAGATACTAACCTGATTTAAGGGTGAAATATCGTTGATTTAGCCTATATGATCAGGAATGAATAAAATGTGTACACGAAGTATGAAAATTTTAATAAGAGGAAGGGTATTAATATATTCTTTATTATTGTTTAAATTTATTAAAAATAAAAAATATAAAAGAAAAATATTACTTTAGAAGTAAAAAAAAAGTAAAATTCATATATTTTTAATAATTTTTAATTTATAATAAAAAAATGTGTTAAAATATATGTTAATGCTTAATAAGAAAACAGAGGCAAAAGTGTTTGGCCCATGCTGAAGCCGTATCCAACATAGATTGTCTGATAGTGAGTTAGCCGCATATTTACCTAACTGCATTGCGTGTTGGTATGCTTCCACAGTAACTCTGCTTTAATATGATAAAATTGTCTTAAAATTGTTTCTGATATTTGATATAGATTTTTGTTGAGTTGCGTAAGAAATATAAGATTTGGTAAGTTATGGTAATAATTTTTTAAAAAAAATATTGAATATGATAATTTATGTTGTCCTTTTATTATTATATTTCTTTTATAATTTATTTTTAAATTCTTAAACATTTAATAATTATTTTCATTGTTTACGTGATTTTTTTTATTGAAAAAACATTTTATTTTACTTAAAGAATTAAAAGAAATAATAAAATAAGTTTCTATAGTTTAAGTTTTATTAGGTAAAATTATTCTTTAAGTTTTTTAACTAATATAATCCTTTAACTTTTAAAAATATTTTAAATAAGTATTTTGTTAAAAATATTAACTTTATTAAAAATTATTGTTCATTTATATTATTTTTACAATTATTTTCTCTATGCAAATTTTTTATTTTATTTATTTTTCTTTCTCTTTTATAACTTTTTTATTTCTCTCTCTTTTTACTCTTGTTTTTATCTTCTTTTTTATTCTTTTTTCTCTTCAATTGCTACCACAAAATCTTCATCACCAATTATCGTCTCCCTAATTAACTTATGAAAATGACCCATATTTAAAAACATTTTTTACCTCAAAATGTGTTTCATTGCGCCTTCATCCATCTATCATGTGACTCTAATTAGGCTCCATCAATATCATAACTATTTTTTTTTAATAAAGTCACATCATTTTTTTGTTTCTTTCAACCCCTCCCATTTAGTAGGGGATGAAGTAAAAGAAGTAAAAGAAAAAGGTGAAAAAGAAAGAAATAGATAAGAAAATGAAGATTACAAATATTTTTATTAGAAATTCACTTTAAACATTCCTAATTAATATATCACAAACTTCTTTCTTAAATTGATGATTGATCAAAATGGGTTGTGATTTTTTCTTGAACATTAGCAGTGATAAAGATTTACTATCAATAACTTTATTAGTAGAATTCAAGCATTTTTATTATTACATAACATTTATATGACAACTTTAAATAAGATATTCTAATTATATACTCTATTAAATTGATTCTTCTCCAAATTTAATATTAGCCATTTTTTCAAATCAAGACTAAAAAAGAGATCTCAAATTCTTACTTTGGATAAAAAAGACTAGAATTTACTAGCAACATAACAATCTTGAAGAATATACATAATAGATTTACAAGTTGTATTATATATTTAGGATACAAATAACAAGTTGTGGAACATTTTTTCTTTCTTTTCTCATTTATTAATAATTTGGTATAGCTACCTTTCGAAGGAAGGTCTGAATTTTTTAACCTCTAGACCATTTCCAAAACAATTTAAAGGTAAGATTATAACTTTATATAGATTATTAGGATAAACTATTGATTCATAAATATTTTAAGAGTAAAATTTCCATTAACAACATGAAATTGGCCTCATTAAATTCAAAATTAAATTTGGAGGGAGAAGGACAATATTTAAAATGTCATCACAAATTTTGTTAAGAAATAAAAAAAATTGATATTATCATCAATTCCATTTTTCTTTAAAATAAAGTAAAATTTTTTTAATGAAATAATAAGAATATCACATAATTATTTGAGTAATACTTAAAATTTTTATAATTCAAAAATATTTTCAAAAATAAATTTTAAGTTCATCTTTAATACCTCAAAATAGCCTTTTATTAGTAATATTCCAAACTTAAGAAACATCTTTTCTACATTGTAAAATAATTTTAAGACTCTTAATTATAGAAAATATTATTAAAATTATATTTGTTTTTTTTTTCTCATTATATCTAAGTTATTTATCTTAGGTTGTAATTCAAACATTAGTAGTTAGTTTTCTTATTCTAGAGTTTAAGAATATCTTCAGTTAAGATTGATAATGATAATGTAATAAATATTTTATAATTTTTTATTATTTTTAATAAGTTCGTAATTAGGCCATTTTTTACAACCTATATATTTATGTTTAGAGTTTTATACTGATTTATATGTTAAATGTCAATTTAGTATGAAAAGACCACAAGTAGATTTTGGGTGCATTTTGAGCCCAAATTTATGAAAGATCATAGCTTTGCAGCAGTCAGCACGCCTAGACCCTTTCAACAAGGCCTTGCACGACCATGCTTATCTGTGGAAAGCCCAATTATAAAGAGCTTTTAGGATTTTTAAACCTATAAAAGAGATACCTCAGGCATCTTGTTGGACACACTGTTTACATCTTGTCTTTCACTCTTCGATACCTCTTTTATCTTGTCTTTCACTCTTCGATACCTCTTTTATCTTGTCTTTCTTGTAAGGGATCATTGACATACTCTTAGTGGGACTTGGAGCTTCAAGCGACTATACTTGAAAACCAGAAAATCATCTCTTTCTAGTTTGCTTTTCTTTATGGCTTTGTTTACGATTATTTTAGTTCTTCTCTTTAGCATGAGTAACTAAGTTCATAGCTAGGGTTATAAGAACTATTATTCATGAATTTATGAGGTTTTGAAGTTTGAATCTATATTTGGTTTCTATTTGTGATTAGTTTTTATCCTATTGCGCATTATTATAATTCTAATTAATTATATTGTCAAGCGACTATACTTCGATTAGTTAATAGATTTATAGGATAAAATGAGACAAAGGATTAGGTGGACCAAATTAATCTTTCTCTTTTAATTGTTAATTTATGATGACTGGAGATATAATTTAGAGAAAAGAATATTAGTATTACATGATCATTGAGTGTTAATAGTATTTGTATGAATGATTAGTGAGCACAAGGAAATCAAAGTTAGAGTTAAACGGAAAAATAACATAAAGGATTGAATGAAAAAACCTATATGCCCTAGGTTCCTCTCTTATAAGTTCATCCAAGATATGTGTTGTGTTATTTGCTTTTATTTATAATTAATTTTATAATTAAATTCTGATTCTTACTTAATTTCACATCTTCTTAGTAATTAAAAATCAATCTTTGTGGAACGATATATTAAGAACTTATTTTAGAATCCTTTATTACTTCTCAACGGATACACTTGTTCTCCGAACAATTCTTTATTATTTGATTTAATTATTAGTATTTTTAATGCTTGTAAATTTGACTTTTGATTTTCATAATTTTAGATGTTAAGTGAAAAACAGAAAATAAACTTTATCATTAGAAACTTCAAGATTAAATATGAGATTTTATATCACAAAAGTATGTTAGGTTTCTCAACGAATTCTGAATTATCATAAAATTCTTAATAGATTTAATTACTATAAGAGTAAAAGTTACTTTAACTAAATATGTTATTGTATAAAAAATTACTTTAGAATAATTTTCCTTTAAGATAAGTCAAGAATAAATAGAGGATTCTCTTTTAGTTAAGTTGGTCAATCCAAGGTGAAATTAATCTCTAAAAATTTGTTAAAATTTAAATTAATATATTTTTAATTATTTTACCTTTTTATTTTCTCTTTAATTTATTTAATTAATTGGTTGGATTTAGATATTTAAAATACAATTATTAGTATTCAATTACGTAATTTTTATGAATACAATAACTCTTTATTATATTTAACAATCAATGTGCACCAATAATTTTATTAATGAACAACTTCAAATAAAGTTTTTACATATTTTATTATTTTTCTTACAAACACCATTAAAAATAAGAAAAAATTATATTATATAACTCAAAATACTCGTTATACTAGACGAATAAGAGTAACTCTACAAAAAAAAAAAGAAATTAATCTTTAGTTAGATAATTTTTTTCCTAATCTTATCCAATAAATAAATAAAAACACATCTTTATTGGACTATAACATAAAATAGAGGTTCCATTCAATTTATTAGAACATTTGATATCAATTTCTTTATTTAAAAGAAGTTTGTTTTTAAAATTCAAATTATAAGAAGAATAAATACAAAATTTCTCCCTATTAATTTTTTTTTTTTGCTAGTGGGCCTTATAAAAGGAATTTAAAACATATTAAATCAAATTTATTTAAAAAGAAAAGGCTTCAGCTATTAGACTAAATCATTAACATGAAATAAATGAAAATTTTTGGAATCTCTTTTGCCAAATCAAAAAAGTTTTCACTCATCCAAATTTATTTTATCTTTGAATGCAATGTGTTTCTTCTTGTCCAATTTGGGAGGAATAGAATAGAACTAAAAGTATGTTGTTTTATAAACTTACACGTCTCTGTATTATCCTTATCATCTTTCTATTATTATATACTTATATTATATTTAAATTGCACACATAATTGTTACAATTTTATCTATTGTTGTCAACCCCTTATTTGATCATCGATATTCTTCTCTTATAAAAGTATGTCCTTATTTATTGAACATTCCTTTTTTTTTAATTGTTAAATTATAATATAATTAAAAATTATACAACAATAATTAAATTAAACTTCTTAATATAACAGATTGAATAAAATAAAATAAATAAAAAACATCTACACTAATTATATATATATATATATATTCTTATAATTAAAGTTTTAAAGGATTTTTATTCTCAATTTTTTTTAAAAAAAATACTTTTTCTTCTCTTGAATTTTTGGAAAGAAAACTTTAAAAGATGTAAATTTTTCAAAGGAACATATTTATTTTTGGAATTTTTCATGAACTAAGAGGTTTTAAAGAAATGGAGGATAATTTTCTTGTTATGATATTTGAAATTTGATGAAGATAATATTTGTTGAAATGATTTTCTAGTTTGTAATGATTAATATGTTAATACCTTTTTTAATTTAAAATTAGTTGTCATAAATTTTATGTTAAGGCCTTAACATGTATGCTAAAAAATCAATGTTTTATAAATAATATTATTTATTTTTATGTAATATTTTAAATTTGTATACATAAGATTATTTTTTATTTAATAATAATTATTTGTTGAATTTATATTACCATAGAATATAAAAATTAAATTAAAAATACATATTTTAAAAATAACAGTATTATAAATAATTATAATTTATTTCCTATTTAAATGATAAAATAGTTTTTTATTTTAATCTATCATAATACATTCGAATAATACAATAAATATTTATTTATTACATTTTATTATACTCATTTCTATTTTATTTCATTTCATCTCATTCTCGGAACAACAGTTAAGAAAACCTCGTAATATAAAATTTGGGCACTTTTTGAAAGTGAAGAGTGTATTGATTAATTAAGAAGTAATCCCAATATTCGTCTTCCCTGTCTCGCGAGTAGCGGAAAGGACTCGTTCTTCTTCGATCCGAGTATGTACGTGTCATCCCTTCTTCATTTTCTCCCTTAGGGTTTTATTTAATTTACGTTTCGAAATTTCGCATCAGATGCAATAATTCATCAATTTAAGTTGCGGCATTATGAGAATGTTTATAATTCACAACATTCCTTAAGAGTTAAATTTGTAAATGATTTTATGGAGTGTATTATGTAGACTTGCATTGTATATCACAGATCTTTAGTTTTCTTAATTTTTGGGTGCTTGTGTCGTTTGGGTTCGGGTTTTAATGGGTGCATGTAACTGAAGTATCTCATATTTTTTGTTCTCTTGAGTCTGTGTTACTTTCGATTTGAAGGTGATCGTGCTTGTAAATAACTGGAGTATGAGTGGAAGTTCTCTGGTTATGTTCGCTACTTGATATTTTGTGTGGGAATTTGCTAAGCTGGTGAAAGCCATAATGATGTTGAAGAAGCTTTATTTGGAGGGAAGTTATTTCATTGAAGAAGTTATGTTGCTTTGTTCTTTATAAATTAGTTCAAATGTAGGTCTTCTAAGGTTACCTTTGGGTTAGGTTTGTGCTTATAACGAGGGAAACAATGAGCCAAGCCAGCTCACTAGCTTAGTTCATTAAGAACTCAATGGGCTTAAAGGTTTGGCTCGTTTGTTGAATGAGCCAAGCTTGAGCTGTCACATTTTGGGCTCATCAGCTCATGATGCCTACACACACACACACACACACACAGAGGCATACACATATAATGCTTTAATGTATATATTTTAGCAGTAGGTTTTATTTTCTATCTGACTAAATAGCTTTAATACATGGCAATTGGCTCATTAAGCTAAAATAGCCCATGAGCTTTAACATGAACCAATCTTGAGCCAAGAAAATGGACTTGATTTCTTGGTGAGCTGACTCTAAGCCAGCTTTGGTTTGGCTCAACTCGGTTCATTGCTAGCCAGCCCTGCCTTAAGTATAACAGTTCCTTAAAATTTCAGTTTTACTAGATAATTGGAGTTGTTGCAGTTGGATGCATTTAAATCACTTAAGTCTGTGTATTGCTCATACGAATGTCTCTAGAATGTTTTCTTTACATGGCAATAAATAAGAAATAATTCAAACAAAGACCAAAAAGGTTAGGGCCAGCCAAGTAGGTTGTTGGCCATTGCATTTATAGTGTTGAGCTTGGCCATCAAGTACTGTCCCTTGGTAATTCTGTCATAGGTTTTAGTGCTGTCCAGAGTTGATTTTAGATAACGATCTTGAATAAATGTTTTGAAAAGGTGTGCTATAATGTTGGTATTTGGTAAGATGATTAAATGGTTATACGGTTTGTGTTTCTTTTCATGATCAAATGTCTACATGTGTAAGGAAAAAAAATTAGAGGAGGAAAAGTATTGTTAAAGATTTCTGAAAATGTCTACATAAGTTCATATCTATCTGCTTTGCTATGGTGGCTCTTTCAGGGCTTGCCGTTTGTGACTGACATATGCTCTTGACATTTGAAAAAAAATCTATATTGTGACCAATTGGAATTACAGTAAGGTGGCAATTTCTGGCCTGACTAAGCTTAACATGTCTTAAGCATGAGAATGAAGCATGTTTTGTCTGCGTTAACTGGTCCATTTGACAAAATATCTTTTCTTGCAGAACTTTGTTTAAGCAGTAGTCATGTCTTCTTTTCTTCCTGCCACAACAGAGTCAATTGCTCTAGCATTGGAGGCCAAAGACCCATCTGAGGCCATCTTGATTCTTTATCGAGTACTTCAAGACCCTTCGTCTTCTCCAGAAGCTCTGCGCATGAAAGAGCAGGCCATTACAAACCTAACTGACCTTCTGAGGCAAGAAAATAAGTCAGAGGACCTGTGCAGTCTTCTTACTCAGTTGAGGCCCTTCTTTTCCTTGATTCCTAAGGCAAAAACTGCAAAGATTGTAAGAGGAATAATTGATTCTGTTTCTAAAATACCAGGGACTTCTGATCTACAAATTGCACTGTGCAAAGAAATGGTGCAATGGACTCGTGCTGAAAAGCGTACCTTTTTGAGGCAGCGAGTTGAGGCAAGGCTTGCAGCACTTCTCATGGAAAATAAGGAGTATTCTGAAGCTTTGACTCTCCTTAATAGCTTGGTCAAGGAAGTTAGAAGATTAGATGACAAGCTTCTACTTGTAGACATAGACTTGCTTGAAAGCAAGTTGCACTTCTCTTTAAGAAACCTTCCCAAGGCAAAAGCTGCCCTCACGGCTGCAAGAACAGCTGCAAATGCTATTTATGTTCCTCCAGCTCAACAAGGTGCCATAGATCTGCAGAGTGGAATTCTTCATGCTGAGGAGAAGGATTATAAAACTGCATATAGTTATTTCTTTGAAGCATTTGAGTCTTTCAATGCTCTTGAAGAACCCAAGGCTGTCTTCAGCCTCAAATACATGTTATTGTGCAAGATCATGGTGAGCCAAGCTGATGATGTGGCTGGAATTATATCTTCTAAAGCTGGCCTCCAATATGTTGGGCCTGACTTGGATGCCATGAAAGCTGTCGCCGATGCTCATGCTAAGCGATCGTTGAAGTTATTTGAAATTGCTTTGCGTGATTACAAGGCCCAGTTGGAGGAAGATCCAATTGTTCACAGGCACCTGTCATCCCTGTATGATACACTCCTGGAGCAGAATCTTTGCAGATTGATTGAGCCATTCTCAAGGGTTGAGATTGCACATATTGCTGAACTAATCGGACTTCCCGTAGATCACGTGGAGCGAAAGTTGTCTCAGATGATTTTGGACAAGAAGTTTGCTGGGACATTGGATCAAGGTGCTGGATGCCTTGTCATATTTGATGATCCCAAGACTGATGCAATATACCCTGCAACTTTAGAAACCATTTCTAATATTGGGAAAGTCGTGGACAGTCTTTATGTTAGGTCTGCCAAGATAATGGCATGAGTTCTTGATTTGGTTACTTCATTTTTGTATTTGCTACAATATTTTGTTTCTGTTCTCTTCTTAGCAATGAGTAGGATATCATTTATTTAGATTATGAATTTCAGACTCGGCAGTTTTTGTTTTTGAGTCCGTGATCCTTAAACCACTTCAGGCGACCATATGTTGTGATTTAAGGCGTTTTGAATGTCTGATCTTAAAAATACATTCTTGTCAAGGGTTGGTATCATAAATACATACGAGTGTGTGATATATTGTCAGGGATGAGGATACCAAATCCTTAGTGGGCTTTACCATTTTTGGGAAGCCGTATGCACCATACAATAATAAGCCAAGATATCATCCATTTCTTCGTAACTTTGTACCTTAAGATTCAAATGATAAGAAAAGTGGGCTTTGCCATCAATACGAGAAACATTGAATCTTAGCCATGAATATATAAGTGAGCCCAAACACAACTGTAAAGCAAATGAGTAGGAGAGATGATTGATAGATTCCTCTTGATCATTGCATAGAGGACATAGACAAGTGTGAGGTTAATAAATTCTAATTCCCTTCTAATCAAGTTCACTCTCTAGTGTGAATTCTATCTAGGAACATTAGCCATGTGAATACCTAAACCTTTCTGAAAAATTGCTTTGACAAAATCACCACAAAAGTAAGAATATTTTTTCATAATATTGAAGTTATAGGTTTATTCAAAGAAACATTAAAGAGACACAAGCTCTTTTCAACAGGAAAGAATGTAAATAACATACTTTTTTCAATATTTAGTTAAAATTTATTAAAAACTAAAAATTATAAGAGAAAAATAATTAAGATTAAAAAATAATGAGACTTAATTGTTTTTAATAAATTTTAGTCAATAATTAAAAGTATGTTAAAGAATGCGTTGATAATATTCCGCAAATTCAAATACTAATTAATACAAATTTAAATTCTAACTCTAGATTGAAGTTGAATTTGCTTGGGACTGAAAATGCAAAAATAATGCTTAAAATTTATTTTAAAATTTTATCTGTTTAAACCAAATATTCGGAAGATAAAATTTTGCTTCCCCTACCGTACAAAATATAACGTAAACTGGTTATAGCAAAAAAAATATTTTATAAAATGTTTGTTTAAAAATGTAAAAAATAAAAATAAAAATTACAAGATTTTAAAAGAACAAATAATTAGTTAAGACATCCTTAGTTTATTAATATTATTGCTAAACAGTTCTTACTTCATTTTATTTAATATTATTATTACTATTTAGTCCTCCTTCCGTGGAGAAGAACCGAAACCACCTTGTCGATCTTTGCTTAACACAGATCTCCCCTCAAAAACCAAAAGATAAGAAACCATAACCTAGTCCGCATCAAATCAATCATACGTAGCCACCACACGACCAGAACCATATCAGCATTCTGATGACAACCTTTTATTTCGCAAAATTTCACTGAATCGAATCGAAAGCTGTGATATTTCAGGTACCGAATCTCAACCACATTACCCGTTGCAAAGAAACCGATGTTTTCAATTCAATTCTGTGATTGTGTAAATTCAATGAATTTCTAGGCGTGCATAATGCATTTGAGAATGCAATGGGTCATGATTTTCCAATTAGCAATTTTTCGCTTTATAGATTTTTAGTATTGTATAATTAGGTCTGCAAAATTATTCATGCTTTCTAAAAACACCTTTGTTATAAACAGAACGTTCTGGTTTTTGGGTTCTAAGATCCTTTGACTATTTCCCTCTCTAATTTTACCTTTGTCATCATCCTTATAGTGTACTAATAATTTTATTTTGCTTTTAAGACTGTTATGATCAGATACTCCAAATTTGTTAAGTATACTGATATGCGTCTAATACACACGTATCCAGAAAGTTTCTAAGTTCTTAATTTTATTTTTATTTTTAAAAATTGCGTGCCCAATATGGTTTTGATTAGGCTCAATACATTCAAATATGGCTTGGGTCAGTGGATACAATACTCTTAACTTAGTTAATATCGAAACAGTTTCAAGGTTTGCACGATTGTTTGACACTTGAGTCTTTGATCAGCAACATCACTCATCACCTACTGCTAGGGTTTATAGCAGCATGGGTCTCGTCTTTGACAATTAGGGGTCTCGGTTCTCGTGGGTCTTGACTCCCACAAAATTGAACACCTTTGTTCTAGTGCTTTGAGCTTAGGAACGTAACAGTGGTTCTGGATCCTGCAAAAGTCGCTCGTTTCTGTACCTATCTGCATACCACTATCTCTTTAATTATTATTATTTTTTTTTTTTGTGTGTAAAATATGTTGTTTCTTTGAATTCATGTTAACTTATCTAGGTCATATCATATCTTGAATTTTCAAAATTCCCTGCATCGTACCCGTGTCATACTAAGTATTTGGGTTTCATAGCTTTAAGAAGATGGTGGGGTGGAATTGTTTTTGTAATGGTAAACTTTCTGGTATGTCATTTATGATTTAATAAAAAAAATTTAATTATAATTTATATCTTAATATATCACTAAAAAAATCGCTCAATGGGCATTTAGTATTAATCAATTTACTTAACATTTGCATCCTGGAAAGGTATAGTTTACTTCTGCAATAAAATGCACCAGTATGTCAATGCTTGGAAGCAAATGTTAATTTTTCTATTTTAAACATGTTGAAGTAGTTTTCACTGATAATTTGAGTGTTTCGTTGCGTTAAAAACGTGGGTAGCTTGACTAGATAAGCTTTACTGATACCGTGTAAGATTATTACTTTCAGTTTGATACTTAATAACTTTTGTTTCTTTGCCTGTAACTTTTGATTTATAGATAATCTGATACCGAACACTGCACGAATGGGAATCAGTAAAACAGAAGTAAACTTAAGAAGACTGCTTGCAGCTGCTCCTCAGCAGCAAAACCAGGCAAAACTTGTACATGTAAGTCTGCAGATAAGTCTTGAGCTTGACAGGTCATTTTAGGGCTATCAGGTTATGTTAATCTCAGTTATAATATTTTTTTCCAATTTTTTTGAAATGATATTTTACTTAGTCATTTGTTAACTATGGGAAACACAAAATTAATCATTTGTTGATTCTGGCTGCAGTATGTTGCTACTTTGCGAGAACAATTGGAACAGTTGGCTGAAGAGAGGACACAGGAAGGCTTACCGAGGTATTGTGTGCCTCTTTATTTAAATCTGATAGATATAGATGTTAAGGAATTATAAGTGAGATTATATCATTTCAGTATTTGTTTAGAAATTGTAGCTCAGTCATCTGGTAATTGTAATCTTACCCTTAATTTTTTCTAATATACCATAAATAGTAGGGACAGATCTTCATGGCCTTTTCTTCTTATTGCAGGCAGAAGGGGATGGGGGGTAGGGTTTGGCGCCAAAAGTTTTAAAAATTCCATGGAATAGAAATACATAAAATAAATCAGATATACTTTAAACATGATCAAAGGATCTATTAAGTAGGGTAAAGTTTTCTTTCTGAATTTGCTTTGCTTGTGTTTAAACAGTTAAAAAGGTAATGCTCATTGAAATTTTAAGACATTGATGGAAAGGAGAAAAGAGAAGGTTTCACTAATAGGAATATAGGATTCTGAATCTCTGATTAATTGTGATGTTCCAATATAAAACACTAATCTAATGCTTCTATATTCTAAGGTGAAAAGCATAGAGCAATTAGTATAACCCCAGCCCAGTAATGTGATCTGACATGATAGTCCTAATGAACTGTGGACTAAAGGGATGGACTTTTTTTTTTTTTTTGCAGTGAATTCTCTTGAAAATATGACACACATTGAACCCAAGTCATGCTCCCCCACCCCCCTCTTTTAACTGTTTGTAAGATCTAGGATTTAGTGAAATGATCATATTTCTTTAAAGTAAACTTCATAGTTTATTTCATTTTCTACCTCCCCTTGATAATTTTTAGTTTTAATCATCTTCTCTTAGTTAATTTATAGTTTCAAGCTGTTGAATTCCTGCTATATTTTTGTGTTTCTCTATTGAATTTGTGGGTACATGCTCTGCTCTGGTCATGCAGGATTTCAAAGTCTGTGTTGAATGATTATTCAGAGAAGATAGAAGCTATTGCTTCGAAATTGGTTAGCCACGTGGTATGTTTTTGTTAACTATGGTATCTTGGAGTGATATTGAAATGTAAAAAGATCTTTAGACTAACTGACTAAACATTTTAGGTTCCTTTGTTTGCTCCAATCTATAATATAGAATGTTACAATCCGAATTGTATGGGACTTGAGTCCCACATTGGAAGTATGAGATTCTAGTGTGGGGTTTATTAGGCCTTAAGCTCTCCAATTAAAATGAATAGGTTCTCTGATATGGTTTTGCCAAAGTTCTTATCAAAGAACAATTTTATTATCAAAAGGATGGAATTTATGTAATTCAAATTTCTTCAAGAACTGGTGAAATAGCTGGTATTTCATTTGTTTATAAATTATATATCTCTTTCTTAAAAGAGAAAACACATCAGTAAAGTTACCATAGAAGATAGAAGTCAAAACTAGGATTGTATATTGGGCATTGGACAAAAAAAAGGAACAGGAGTAGATGAGCTAGAATGGAAAACAGGTTTTTTTAATAGGAAGCCAAACAAAGAAGCCCCATATTTTTATTATTAAATAACTAAACTAACATTTATTTTGCACCATGGCTGTTGCATACCCTATTATTACTTGCTCCAAGAAGATAACTGCCTCATAAGCAAGCAGTAAGCAAATTCTATAGCCAGACACATGTGCATAAGCCACCAAAGTTGCTTTATGTCAAGGTTGTCAGTACCTGTTTAATGTTGATACAATTTATGAAACTAATTTTCTGCTAAACTCTTGAACTTTTTAACTCAGCCTGATATACAAGTATCCGAGAAGGACATTGAAAAGAATTCTGTGAAGGAAAATCCTTCTGAAATTGAGGAAAAAAAGCAGATACTTCTTTCTTCTGGATTGAGAAGAAGGCCTGTGTAAGCTTTGTTAGCTTTCATACAGCTATGTGTTTGTATTTTGTAGGCTGTTTAACTATTACTCATCTGATTCATTGAACAGACCTTCCTCAAGTACTGAAGATAGAGCACATGAGCCTGCTGAGACTGATCAAGCATCACCTGTTAAACTGGATGCTGCAGCACATGCACACATTGACAAGCACCGGTAATTTTGTTTACTTCAGCTATAATTTGAAGCTTATATGATGGTGCGTCAGTAGTACTGCTGCATTATAGAGACCATAACCTACAAACCATAGGTTCATATGTCAATTTGTTAAGAACAACAGAACATATTTTTCTTCAGGAGATGCACTGATGTTTCAAGGTCAATCTTGGGATTTATGTTGTCAGTAACATACCAGTTACCTTATGTTACTGACTATGGTGGACTACTAGGATTATATATGTTTGGGAATTTATTTGATAATTGATTCGTCCTCAGGATGTTTCTGAATAACTATTATTATGATACCAATATTCACACTGGTTATTAAATTATGTGTTGCAAATGTCGTAGGTCAATAATTGTCACTGTTATTTTTATTTACTCTCATATGTGCTTTGCATTTATTGTGTATATCACTTGTTCTCTCATTGTTCTGTATTTTGTTCAATTTTTCTCTCCAGAAAGCTTCAAGAGGATTTGACTGATGAGATGGTGGTGCTGGCAAAACAACTTAAAGAGAGTAGTCTCATGATGAACCAGTCTCTTCAAAATACTGAAAAGGTCCAAGTTTTCATATTTTCATTCAATCCTGCTTATCTAACGTTCTAACCGCCAAACGGTTGTATGAGATGTTGATGCTTAATATATAATCATGTTGAGGGTGAAGCAAAGGGAGTGTTAATATCTTGTGACAATAGTGTGGTGGTCAATACATTTCTAATCCAGCACAAAGTTTCTTACAAGAAAATCCTCTTTTATCTGCAATGAAGTTTTATTTGTTGTTTTAATCTTAATGCTAATCTCATGAAATATCTCTTTTTTGGTGATCTTGACAGAAGTGAGTGATAATATAGTTGCACCATTCAATATTCAGTTATTAGGATTGAATAATCTTTATATGGTTGTTATATTATAACATAATCTAGTTACCATTTGGAAGTTTATCTTATAACATTATTTTTTGTCCTATTTATAAGAAACAACTACCAACCTTTTTTGGGTCCTGAATATAAGAAACAAAGACCCTTTTTCAAATGCATTAATTGTTAACTTCTTTTTATATTTGTATTTATTGTAAAATTTTGTGGATGTGGATATATTAATTTACTTAATACATAACACACAAATTTGACCATTTAAAATACCATAGGTCGATTAATTAATCATAACCTCATTTTTTTGTTGACAATTATCTCACATTTGAGAGTTTAAAAGATGAGGAGTTAACCAAATGAATTCGCTTGCAGATACTTGATTCTACCGAGAAGGCCGTTGAGCATAGTTTGGCAAGCACAGGCCGCGCCAATGTGCGAGCAACAGCAATATACTCGGAGAGTTCCAAGACTTCTTGCTTAACGTGGCTTGTGATGTTTGTGATGACATGTGTATTTGTCATGGTTATTCTTCTAATCCGTGTCACATAGACTAGTATAGTTCACATTTCACTGGGTAAAACGAAGGAAAATGTTTTCTTGTACATTTAAAGTGAGATCTTTTTTGTGTATTTTCTTTGATTTTGCTGGGTGTTTTTGAGATATATGTATAGGAAGAAAATGCAAATAAGATAGAGATAGTTGTACACGATGTTATATATGGTGCTAATTTTAAAATGTGAAAAATAACAATACTGTAAAAGCAATTACTTCCATTATAGCATTTTCCATCATGTAAATTACAAATTTGACATGATGGATAACTAATAACTAGTGAGTTTTCTGTATATTGTATAGATTTATTAATTTAAAATAAATTATTGAATAAAAAATTTAAAGAAGTGTTGCATATTTTTTTATAAATTTAATTTTGTAAATTCAAAAAAGCTGTAAACAATTTTATTATTAATATAAATATTCCATTATATTAATTGGAAAAAATTAAAAAATAAATTAAGATTGAATTAGAAAAGAACATATGATGCAAAAGAAGTCATACAATGCAACGAGAAAAGGATCGTATAACTCATTCAAAAACTATTTGTGTTTAAAGTAATTCTTTTAAATACTTTCATTTTAAAATGATGACTCAAATAATATATAGAGGTGGGTTTTATAACATGACACTTAAAGATTAATCAATTACAATAGTTTTGTTAGGATAAATTTATCCATAAGTACTTATAGAAGAAAAACTTAAGTGATAAAATTAATAAAATTTCTTTTAAAAGTTAAAATTAATTTATACTTTTTTATTTTTTAAAAAAAGTTTTTATTTTATTTCTCTAAAACTTAGAGAGTATAAATCATTTTTAACCTGTGAGATAAATAATTTTTTTTTATTTATATGATCTTATTTAGAAGTTTATCTAAATTAAACTTAAATTTGTTATTTAACCGTGATTCCCCTTGCAGTAAAATTGAATCTATTTTGAAATAGTATCAGTTCAATTAAAGATTTATATTAAAAAGGGTTAGATTTAAGAATGATTCAAACGGAGCTGATATTTCAATGGACGTTAATAATAACATATTATTTATCAGAAAACAAAATGTTGTTGCCATAAACATAATTGAATCTTCCTTTATGAACGCAGTGTTTTATATCAGTTTCATGGCAGTATTCATATCAGGATTTGTTAGTACCTCAAGAAACAATCACTATTGAGGGATCAGTTGTCTTGTATGGTTGGCATAGTTAGTAAGTGTTAACCTAACTCTTATGGGTCTAGCCACTAACATTTCCCACCTCTACCTAGTTGTCAAAACATTCATACAATCTCATTATTTTAATAAATAAATTGTTAGATAATTTAATTTATTATTAATTATTTTAATTAAATAATTTATATTGATCCATGTAATTTATTGACCAACTTTAAAAAATGATTTAATATAATGCTTATTAATTAATAACAGACAATGGAGTTAATGGGAATTTAGTTTTTAAATTTTAAAAATCCATCCCCTTGCCTTTAGAAACAAACAAGCTGGTTACCACATGTGTTGAGAAAAGAAAAATAAAGAACACATATATATACATTTCTTCCACCAAAGAAACATCAAAGAAAAACAAGGAAGAAAGGAGAAAAGCAAAAAGAACTTAAAGATTCCCCAAAAGTTTACAAAATGTGGATTGAGATAAGTTTTTTAATCCTTACGGTGTAAGAATCATAAAATTTAATATGTTTAAAGGTTTAATACTTTTCTGAATTGTAAACTCAAAGAAAATTTACATATAACAGTTGGTATGGGAGCATGTAATTATGAATTTTCATGAAAGGTTAATTTTTCTTCAATTTTACAATGTGCAAATATATATTGGGTTCTGTTTATGGATAGTAATTGATTGTTGTCAAAATCCCTTTTGGTTCGGTGTCCTGGATTTCCATGAACACTGCATGCATTAAATATTCATGATTGATGTTCGATGTGTTCATGTATGAAACAGTGTGACCCAACATTAGAATAAAATATTTATGCTATTTTGTAAATTTAATTCACAATATTCGTTAGTTGAAATATATTCATGTTATGAATCATAATTACAGATATGGCTTACAAATTTATTATTATTATTTCATAATTTTAATACTAAAGAAAAATTAAGGAGACTCTTCTGAAAAACAAGAACATGAAACATATTTTAACTTCCTCTAACTTTTTTTTTTTTAAATTATCTTTTAAGCCCTTTTGTCATGCCTTTATGCTTTTCATTTAGCTGAATAACATTTAGTCTACTCATTTTGCTCAACTAAGCACTTCCTTTAATAACTTATGAACTGAATTAAAACTTAGTCCCTTCTTTAGCGTAATTATCTAATAATAAAAGGATTATTAAATTTGTACTTAACTTATCATATTAGACTAAGTTAATTCAATTTGAACTGAAACACAATCGACTTTTCTGGCAACTAAAACATGCAACAATGTTTATTTAACTTATAAAATACGAGTTCATTCAATCATCACTTATAGGATTTGTTTGTTTTGTGATTAGTCCATCCTATTTTTTTTATTTACTTAAACATAAGTTTAAAACAATTTGATTTATATTTAAAAAGTTATATATATATATATATATGGACTACATACAGTGCCTCTAATATTTTAGCAGGCTCAGGTAATCGTGACTTGTCCCCTCTTATATCAATAAGACACGCCGACACAAACTATTTGATGGTGGTTTTTTAACATGAAAGCTCACCGGGTGAGCTACTGAATTCAGAAAGTTAGGTATTGAGTGATGGATAAAAGGAGAAAAGGTGAAGATCAAATAAACAAATAAGAGGAATATTAATCATACACTTTTTAATACAGTTTTAATTATAAGACCAAAATTTATTAGAAATTAAAAATATTAATTTATAAGTGAAAAGGAGTGAAATTCATGTAAACTTTAATTAATAGTTAAGAATATATTAAAAAAGTGTGCTGAAAAATAGGTAAGTAATCTTCCTTAACAAATAATGCAAAGCTTGCCAGTTACCTTGAAACTTTTTTGAGAAAAGAAGTGTGAGCTTTTATGAAGATGAGCACGTTACCAACTTTATTTTGGGTTAGGTTGGTCCTTGTCCCAATCAAACTCCATTACTTTAACTAGAACTTACAGATTAAGAAACCCACTTTAATTGCTGAAACACCCTTTGTTCTTGCCTTCGATTCATTCCGTAGTTGCATAAGCCACATCAAAGCGCAGAAAATGCCTTTAATGCTTTTCCAAAAGTAAAGGTTGCACGGCTTTGTTGGTTTTGGAATTTGGACCTCCTCTCATTGGGTGGCTGCTATATTTTAGTGCCACAAAGCTTTGTGTGATTTGTGCCCTTTCTCTCTCACTTTGTTATCACAGTGCCACTCAACTTTTCCATGATTGAGCTTTTCATTGCCATTTGTGGTAAATATGCCTCCTAATCTAATGTTGTTCCCACCAAATACTCCATTCATTATTGCTTTATAATTTCTTCATCATATCAAAGAAGGAAACTAATCCAAAAACTATTAGATGATGCACAATTATCTGATATCATGTTATGTTACGTCTCAATTTTTATAATTTAATTTATATATAATGGGTGGCCAAAATCACATGATTCTAGACTAAAAAAATATTTCTTAAACTAAACAAAATATAAGATTATATTTGTATTTTACATATATTATGTTGTCATTAACTCCTACATGATTTGTTTGGATAAATAAAAGAAATTTAACAAAGATGAAAGAAAATACCAAAAATAATATGTTTTTAAATTTATTTTAAAAAGTAAAAAAATAATTTTAAAATAAAAACAGTTAAATACTTTCACTTTTTTTTTATTGTAAGTGTAAATTTTTTACTCTATTCTTCTGTGAATCAAACAAAAGTACAATGTACTTGGTTTAGAAGTAACCTCAACTTCTTTGGAATTTATACTTCTATGCGAAGAAAGCTTTGGGAAGTGCTGCAGTTTGCATAAATTACAATTCTAATAATCAAGGACTCGCTTAATAAGATTGAAAAATAAGAAAATTTAAACAGTTTCTCTCAATGAAACATCTTTTATGCACAGAACTCATATACTGATTTTTATGAGGTAATTTTCATAAATTTTAAATTAAAATAACTCATAATAACATTAATTAACACAATCATTTTTTTTCTTATTTTATATAAATAATAGTTTTGTTATGCTCAGCCTGAGTTTAAGTATCAATAATTAGAACTTTTATGCAAAAAATGTTTCGCTTTCAAAAACACTATAAATAATGAACAAGTGTTAAACTATTAATGTAAATTCAAATTCTTAATAAATTATATACGTTACAACATATTCGATTATATTTTAAATGACCCAAATAATAAACACACAAAAATGCATTATTGAAACAAACTCAGTAGTTCTTTCCCCTTTCTGAAGGATTGAACATGTAATTACACGTGACATATCTGGTCCTGCAATTCACTGTACTACGTTTTGACATCACATGCCGTCCATTTTTATTTTTTAGTCCTCTGTTTAAAAACATTATTACTCGAATCAAATTCTTCCATACTCGAATTTTAAATTCAAAATAACCTAAAACAAAAGTTTTTTTTTCTCTTTTTTTATTAAAGTTTGCCTTTTCCTCACTTTTTTTAAAAAAACTAAAATCAGAGACGAATAAAAGTTATTAGAATTTTAAATCTCTATTATTATCTGTTGTTTAGTATATTTGTTTAGATAAAAAAAATATTGTGAGAGTTATTTGTTATATTTATTTTTCTTCAATAAAAGCTACACATTAATTAATAATTTTTCTATCATGTATGCTGGGTATACTTTAAGAAAATAAAATAAAATAAAATGAAAAACCTAACAGTTGCTACGTAGCACTTCTCATGCTTGGAATGTGCATCTATTTATACCCATAAAACAGCTTCTCTTATTCCCTTTTCCCCGTCTATTCTCTCTCCCTCTCATATTTTGTTCTTCCGGCGAAATGGAATCGGCCAAGTGGAGCCACGTTCAGGCGGCGCACTCCATTTTCCCCGCCTTCGACGATGACAAGTGGATTGCATCGGAGTTCGACGACGTGAAACCGTGCAAGATTGATCCATTCACCGGCAGCTCCGGCGATCACCTCGACGCTGCTTTCCAAAATCTGGTCAGTGCTCTCTCACTCTCACACACTCTTCACTTCCGAACCAAACCCTCCTTCGCTCATTGCAACCTTTGTTCCTTCGCAACCTAAAATCACTGTGAGACAACGTGCTTCTGGTTATATACTTAATTTCAAAAATTAATCAAATTTAATTATATACATATCACCGAACACGTAAATGAATCGGAAGATATTCTTATAAGTTCGAAGAGAATTTTACTTAATAATAATAATAAGATTGGAAGAAGTATGAATTATTACTCCTATGGTTGGTAATAACTTTGCCCTAAATTTTCTGCTTGGCTTGTGTATCTAACTAAGAAAATACTAATCTAATTTAATTTTTCCGGGAAAGAAACGATGTTGCTAAAAGGATGAAAATGAGTCGAAGTAGAAAGAAAATAAAGATTGTTTTGTGAGAGATTTAGGTAAAGGAATGCGCACAAAGAGGAATTTGGGTGAATGAAAAAGGTGAATGCCACGTCAGCAGTTGTTGTTTTACGAGGAAAATATGCTGATGCGTTGTAATTAGCTTTTTTCTGAGAACTCGTGGGAACGCACTTCATAAGGATCTATGCATTTTTATTTTTCCTTTTAGCTTCGCACACAGCTATATGTAATAACTAATAATTATTATTTTATTATTTTATTATTTTAAAAGGATGATTTATATAAAGCTTTTGAAACGCCTGTCAACTTTGTGTTTTAATTACCTTTTTATGGGTAGGGTAGCTCGAATTCCATTTATCATATCACCAATTTATTACATACAAGACCATAAAACAAATAATTTGAAGATAATTTCTCTACAAGGTTGATGGCTTAACTTGATCCACCCACCTAATATTTCATATAAAATAAGTTTGAGTTATTATATTTTTATAAAAAATTATACTTTTTAATTTTATTAGTGTATTGAATTGCATGATATCATGTGATTTATATATAATTAATTCATTTTAATTCTCATTAATTTCTTCCCTTATCTTAATGGTAGAAAAATTCTAAAAAAATGAATAGAAAATAATGACTGCTCTTCGTCTATCTGCTAAAGAAGAAAAGAATAAAACAAAGCGATCGATCTGATTAAACTTTTATCCTTTTACAATAAAATCTCAAACATCTTTTACATTTCCTATTTTATATACTTGTAAATAAGAAATTTCCAACTGGATAAATAAAATACATAAAATCTGCCATGCCAATACACGCCTGTATTAAAAAAAGAAATTTTTTTAACACTATTGAATGTGTGTATATATATATATATATATACGAAAGTAAGAAATATTTAGTGATACGATAAAATAAAATAAAATAAAATAAAATAATAATAAAGAGTATAATATGAATGTAAAAATTAAGTTGGAGATTATTTTTCCTCCAACGAATTGTATTTCCTAGGTGCTCTGCCAACTGCTTCTGCAAAAAAATCACATTACTTTTTATAAAGTCATTCTGATATTATTGCGCACGATCTAAATGGGTCCCTTGTAAAGGCTTTTGGGTGGTGGATTATTTTGTTTCTTCCCTGCATAGTTTATCTTTTATGGGCTTTGATTTGTACCTTTTGCATGTTGAAAACAAAATAAAGAAGAAAAATGTGGCAAGAGTTAAGACTGAAAGCGAAAAAGTTGATGTGGCAATAAAGGGAAATTAGCCTTGAAGAAGCTAATAGTAATTAACTTAAAAATTGATTAACAAAATAAAAATCCATGCTTATGTAACTGTTCATTATTACAGGATGCAGTTACTGCATTTTCAACTTGTGGTGGAGTAATCGATGATACCCTTTTCCACTCCCAAAACCTCACTCCCATGCAATCAGCCATCTCTGCAACCATTGATTCTCAGTCCTCCATTTGTGGTACTGGTAATACTCCGCGTTAATATTTGCGTCCAAGTTTTGATCCCTTGCTGCATGTTTTGGCTATGTCAGACACTATATATGTTACTTTACGGTTTCATTATTTTTATATAAGAAATTCATATCAAATGTAATATCGTATATAAATTTGTATTATTTATTTTATATAAAGCATATTAAAAATATTTCTCAAAATGAAAACAACTCTTTTGGTATTTCATTTTAATTGAGAAATATTTTCTGAACAATTGAAGAGCACAACTTTAGTTATTTGATTTTTATTTTTAGGTATACTTTTGAAATTCATATATATATATATATATATATGAGATACAAAAATAATTATTAACAGTGTCACATAAGATATGAAACTTTAATTATTTAAATAATAAAATTAATTTTAATAGTCACCAAACATTTTTCTATTACTTTATCATGTGTTCTTGAATCTTGACATATCAATTAACGATTGAAATTATGTTTTCTTATACAACTAAAAACGATAGCCGATTAAAAGTATTTTTCTTTCGTTTAAACTAAGATCCGATATAATGATTATTATTAAAAAAAATAGGTGATTAATGTTTCTTTTTAAAAGCAAAATTCTCTATATGATTATTAGATGATTTAACCGACAAAAGAGACAAAGCGATCACATATAAAAAGGACACGTGATTTGATTCATAATTGTGTGTCCTTGCATAGCACCACCACACGTCCATAACTATATATAGAAAACCCACTTAGTTTATGAGTGATTTAACATTTAGAATTTGCTTAATGGGTAGTTGGGAGCCCCTTGTCTGCTAACAAACCAAACTTGGGAGATAATCAAGCGAAAGGAGCTACTACAAGTGGGTCCTCACGTGAGCCATCTGATGAGGATGATGAAGCTGGTCCTTGTGAACAAAGCACCAACCCTATTGAAATGAAGCGCCTTAGAAGGTACTTACATATCTTAAAACATTTGAAATTAATTACAAATTTTTATATAATTAATTGATATATTCATATTGATTACACTCTCCTTCCAACTTTACGAGATTAAACCATGATTTCAGGAAGGATTCAAATCGCCAGTCTGCTAGAAGGTCAAGAAGCAGAAAACAAGCACATTTGGCTGGCCTAGAGTTGCAAGTAATTTATCTTCCATTTTCTTGCATATCGAATCACTCCTTCTTCTTTTTTTTTCTTTATCAGCTTATCATATTACTCCTTTAATTTCTCCTTACCTTTCCATCATGTTAAATATCACATTTTTTACCTCCCTCTCTCTATTTTACACTTCTCTTTTTATCAATTGAATGTCATCAATGTATATAACCCAAAAGAATATCAACCAATCTCGTACTTCTCTTTTTCAGGTATAGAACCGATGTGGAAGGGGGGGTAAGAATGGTCCTTGCCCTTCTTTCTCAATTTCTTTTCAAAAATTATTATACGTAAACTGTAATTTCTTATACAAAATTATTGTAATATTTCTAATTTATTCAGATAATTACGTAGGTTAAAACTCGTTCATTTTTTTTTTCTTCCATACATATTTTTTATGAATTAGTTCTTGTTTTTAGAAACTTAATCACGTAAACACAGGTCAACGTTTGCCTTTTTTGGCTTTTTGCTATAGCAATTCAATTTCCATTATGATATTTTGAATTTCCTTCTCAGGTTCAACAGCTGAGGCTCGTAAACGCAAACTTATTTAAGCAGCTTACAGATGCCAGCCAACAATATCGTGATGCTGATACGAATAACCGAGTGCTGAAATCGGACGTAGAAGCTTTGAGAGCTAAGGTATAACTAAGTTCTTCAAAATATATTAGGAACATGTTAACGAAAACTTGAAATTGTATAAATCATCTAGACCCAAAGGCATAATATATAGGGACTAGTAGCAGAAGAAAAAAAGAAAAATAACAGTTTGGTAAGAGAATAAAATGAGTTATGAAGGAGGAATAAAGGAATGGAAAATTTCCGAGTGAACAGAATTTGTAATGTAAGAGCTTTTCGTCAAGACAAGCTAATTGGTTCCCATGGAAATAAAAACTAGGCTCATGGGTCATAGCTACCCCCACTGTACCAAACAACACTTGACAATCGAAAGAGATTATTTTTAATGACATGTTATTTTTTAACTGAAGAATTGATTACAAGATAGAAAACAAAAATCAGTGAATTATACGTTTAAATTCTCATTTTAAATGAGAGTGATTTTAAAAGTATTTGTGTCTTCCTTAAGCCACTCTTTGTTTTTTCTTTTACTTTGAGCATTTAATATTTATTATAATTCTAATCGATCTTAAATTAAACTAAATTTATAAATTTTAACAAATCGTATTAAAATAAGGCAAATGTTAACAAGTGTCACTGGTTAAGAAATAAAAGATGGAATGCTTTTGTTAAAAAATATAATTAATAAATAAACATTCTCCCATGATTTCTAATACAGTCAAACACATTTTTTCAGGAAAAAAATTACTTTAAATTTTCTTTTAAATACTGCGCTTATTAAGACACTATGAGCCAAACCCAAAAAACAAGGATATATCTTAATATCAATAATTTATTATCATTTAATATAATAGAATATTTATTATTAATAACAAAAATATCTATCTTTTATTTAAAGCTTTCTCTTACTAATTTAATTGCTGATTAAAGAATCCACTTTGATAATTTCAGGTGAAATTAGCCCTGGATATGGTGACTCGTGCTTCATTCCCCACATTCAACAACCAGCTTCTTCAGAATCAGAGTCAGAGTGAATTAAGCAGCACACCACAACTCACCAGCAATAGCCTTCGCCGCATGGCACATGTCTCACCATCCATCACTGTTCATAATGATCCTTCATATTCAGCTCTTGGGCTCGGAAACATTGATATAAGTTGCACCGATTTCAATGGTGGAGTCAATAATTACGATAATGCTGTGAGCTCTTTGACTAGCATGTGGCCATAATGGGAAACTCCACCACTCTTTGTAACTATAGCTATCACTTAGTTAATTAGATCCAACTTTATGTTTTATTAGACTTTTAGGGTATATTATGGAAAAACCCTTTTTAATATATTTTTTTTTCAATACATTCTTAAATATTGTTAAAATTTATTAAGAGTTACAAAATTAACAGTGAGATTCAGCTCACATATAATTTTGTGATTTTTGATAAATTTTAATAAATAATAAAGAATGTGTTTAAAAAATATATAATAAAGTATAATATTTGTATTTTTCTTATAAAAATATTATTTTATATTGGTGTTGAAGCATCTAGACTTGGGTCAAATGGTTTTTTTTTTTTTAAATGTTTTGGGCACTCAATTTTCGTGTTTGTTACAGTTAGTTAATAAAAATGAGGCCAATAATACAATTCTTTCGTGACTGATTACGTCTAGCGACTAGCGACCAGCGACTTCTTTTTATCTTACTATTTTCTCGGTTGATTTGTCTTTAAGTAAGAGACTTTGTTGGCGATCATCAGTTTTATTGTAAGAAAAAATGCGTCTCACGTTGATTAATTTTGAATCAAATTTTATTTATTAACTCAATATTTAATAAATATTTTTATGTTCAAAAGTAAGGTAAATATTAATAAAAATAATTGTATCAACATGAAGATGCTGTCTTAAAATTAAAAATAAAATTGATCATTTATTTAATATATAATTTTTAAAAATATAAATTAAAAATAAGTCCTGAAAATTTTTAAATATAAAATTAAAATTAAGATTAAAATACTCATTGCTTAAAACATCGATTTACGTAACTGAGGAAGAAAATAAAAACCCAAAAACACTTTGTTAAATGACTCATAAAAATACTTTCATTCAAAAATTATTTTTATGATTATATATAAAAGTAAATACCACTCAAATCTGAAATTAGTATATATATTTTTTTCTAAAATTAAGTTGAAACAACTTCCAATCGATTCACGACAGTGATCACCCTATTATTTTAAATTAAAATAGTAATATACTCTCTTAAATTTAATTTGAATTTAATATAAATATTAATTTTGAATACACTGCATTAATACTTTCACTAAATTTAATTGGAAAAATCATTAACATTTTAATGAACCATCTTTCTTATCAATAATAAAAATATAATATTTTTCATTTTTGTTAAATCGATTGTTTATCTATTTTTCATCCTTAAATATTAAACAGAACAGTCATTTTTAATATTAAATACTTTTTTATAAAATATTTTTCACGGTAATCAATAATATGGATATATTTTATCATATATTTAATATTTTTTAAATTCTTCATAAATTAAAATATTTCCAAATAATAAGCCAATAACTTGCTAATTCATTTAGAAATTTTAATATTATAAATATAATATAGTGTCTTTTTTTTAATGTCTCTTTTTTTCTACTTACCATAAAAAAAAAAGATCTAAAAAAATAAAAAATAAAAACTTCCCTCCCAGAAGTCGTAATTCAGGCTTTAGGAAAGAGTAGAACATTATTTTAGTCCGTTATAGGTTAGTAGTATTTAAAAGATGAAAACAAATAAATCCTTAAAAGATCTTTTCATCCATGCATGTTAAAACACTGACCGAAACTCCTACTTAGAACATTAAGTGCATTCTTACATGGCAAGTCCTATTTTAATTATTATCTTTGGTCAATAGAAAGTCATCAGAAGTTCCCTCCATCCCCTCTTTAACGTGGGTTTGGAGAAGAAATCACAAAGCAACCATTTAATCTTGTTGTAAACGAAACAATGGTCATACTTGATAGAAACTTCAAAGGAGTAAGTAAACAATAAAGGTCTTACAGAAGGAGAAGGGAGCCATTAACAATTCGAAGAGTTTTTGCGATTCTATCTAACTAAAGGTATGTGCATGCGCTATAAATCTTTGTATTTTAGGATTGGATGCCTTTCTAACTGTTAAGGAATAGCCATGGAATCTTGGTTTGCTGATTTGTTGTTGAATTTTGTTAGGTTAATAATCATTTTGCGCTCCTTTGTTATGCTAGGTACATGAGTAACCCGCAACATGAAGAAGTAGAAGGGCCTTAAGTTGAGTAGGATTTATTCGAAGATGACAAATGCACAGCTACATTTTGAGGAGATAAGAGCCCCTATATCTTGTGAAGATGAAGATAATTAATGGAGGAAATAAACTTGTGTTCCCACAATTCAATGAATTAGTCAATTTTGGTCATGTGTCGTTAGATATTGGAATGGAATTTACTAACTGGGAGTTATTTAAGAAAGTTTGTGAAGGATTAGACTATATATCTTGATAGGGAGATGAAGTGGGTGAAGAATGACAAAGGGCTAGAGCAAGGTGCAAGGTCAAGGAATGTGATTGGCAAATATATTGTGGCTATAATAGTGCAAATAGAAGCTTTCAGGTCAAGGCAAGTTCATATACTAAACCCCCATTCAGAGGGACTATTCAGTCATTCACAACTATCACCCACAAGTCAAATAACACTTTTTTGCCGGCAAGTAAGAGTTAAACACTGGTGGACCAGTAAAGTGTGATGAGAGACCACTCCTAAGTGCCTTTCTTACCATTGCCTCTTTAGTTACTGCATAGACTATGCTGTTAGCCATTTGTAGCACAAGCACAAGGGTTATGCACTTCATTCCAACACCTTCAAGGCCATCTAAACCTAAAAGGCATTAATGAAGTCATGTGCAAAAGGATGTTGCTATTAGAGCTATGTTGCAAACAATACGGATTGTGAAACATCAAAAGCATTGGTCAACTTTTCAGCAAATGAAATTATAAAATTTCTATTGACTATTATTGTCTTCATTCATTCCATTAGATTATCAAAGCTTGTAATTAGCTGCGCTTTAAAGATTATGGATTTTACTAGCTAGTTATCATTTTGGGAGAGTTAAAGTAAATAATAAACTTGAGATTTATTCAATTTAGTCTTACGGATATGTGCTTAAGCAAAGTGAGTTGTGCCATGTAGGTCTGTCAATATTATAAAACAGACGGTAACATGAGGACAATAATGACCGATGTTAGAATTTTTCTAGGGTCTATGTTGTTAGTTTGTTTGGTCAATTTTTTTTTCATACTAAACTGTATTTCTGTTATATATATTGTTCTCACACGCAGTTCATTGCTCCTGCACACGTGTATAACATTTTGTGTAATTTGGTTCAAGCTTGTTTAACATTTAATCCTAGCCAGCGCGTATTGAGTTGGGTGTAAGGTATACAAGTTTAGTTAAAACTATCACTGTGCCGGTAAATAATTATTTAAGTAGTTGATAAATAATTTAACTTCTAATAACTAAATTATCACTGTTTATATACGGGCATTTCAGTTGGCTTCTTCAACTTTGGGACTTCTTTTCTCTAACAGGACAACTTCAAAGTAAAATTGGTATATATACTACACATTTATGACAACTGATGTTGAAAAGATGCAAATAGTGGAAACATAATTGAACAAAACGAAATATATTTTGGGATTTGTCTTATTAGATCGAACACTAATTTAATTCGCTATAACTTTGATGTCATGTATATTGAAAAAAAAAATTTGTATTGAATAATGTATTTAACTTGATTATGGACATTAAAAGTAATATTAAAGATAATGTAAAGGCATAAATAGACTTGAAAAACTATTGCAAGAGTGGAGATTTAGAACTTCTTCAACAAAGAAATGGGAAGATCATAAAGCCAAAGGCAAACTACACATTTACTTTGGAACAACAGGAAGTGCATTTTAATCTTGCACAAATTATCACTGTTTCTAAGCTTTAAATTCATTATAATTTTTACTTCTTCAATAACATCCACTTTTATCACAAAAATATCACAAGTTTATTCTAGAATCTTGGGTGATAAGGTTATTTTGTTCACTACCATAAGATACACACACATATATATATATAAAACTTAAAAGCTTTCAAGTATAAATATTTTTCAAGTTTCAATTAACTTTAAACAAATTGCGTCAAATAGCCTAACTAATTATGCTTGCCTAATTTCGTCTTGTACATAAGTTGTTCAATTAATAATTGTCCTCTTGGACCTTTGCAATTATTTGGATTGTTAGAAGACATAAAGACAAGAAAAATCATATTGCATGGATACATCCTGGTACTGTCTGTTATCATGGCAATTTGTCATGCAAATTCTTGCAACAAAGAAAACAGAAATTGAGGAATTAAAACTTATAAATACTCGACAGTTCTTATAAATGAGAATATTAAAATTTCAACTTGGCGTGCTCATAATTACATATATTATTCTTCGAAACGGTGAGAGAAAGCAAAGCTAGGTCATGTAAGCATCGCTTAGATTTCCTAAGCGCAAAAGGAGCCCAAAAAAGGGCCTAAAAGATTCACCGTATATATATTATGAAGGCGTTAGATGAAATTAAAAATTATACACGAAATTATGGTGGAAAAGGATTTAAAAAAGCCTTCCACACTCAATTAATCAGGGGCCTCCCCATGTATAATTGTTCATCCGGTCCCTTCTGCTCAACCGTAAATCTCAAGAAATCGTCCGGCACAGGAATCTTTAACTCTGAACAAACAAGTTGGACAATTTTTCCAGTGACACCTCCAAAGGACATTTTGTTCAGTGTCACAGCAATAGCAAACCTGTTTGTGACATCACAAAACCCTGTGGACCCACCCATTCCCGAGTGACCAAAGGCAATGGAAGATCCATCCTTAGAACCAAACCTCTTAAATCCAAGGCCAAAACCCCCACTTGGCAAAGCTAAATTCTGGTACTCTCCTGTACCCAAGAATTCATCAACAATCCTAGGATTCCCGTAGACCTTACTAGCAACATGGGTTCTCATATTACTATTCTCCGATTCCACTCTGCTATTAATGGTGTCATCACTACTGGTACTATTTCTGTACGTACTTCTGCCCTCATTAACCTCAAAATCTTCATAACTAGAAACTTTTTCATAACTTCTAGTAGAACTATATGAAGGCAAAGTTGCTTGCTTCCGTCCAATACATCTCCGCCTTTTGGGGGCTTTTTGTGAAGACAATTTGGGGATGTGGGGATGACTTCCA